TTCTAGATAACCAGGCAAATTATATTAACTCAATAGTTGGTAGGTATCATTATTATTATTATGAGATGGAGTCTCACTCTCTCCCCCCCAGGCTGGAGTGCAGTGGCGTGATCTCGGCTCACTACCACCTCTGCCTCCTGGGTTCAAGCCATTCCCCTGAGCCTCCCAAGTAGCTGGGATTACAGGCGTGTGCCATCACACCCAGCTAATTTTTCTATTTTTTTTTTTGAGATGACATTTTTAGAGACTTTTTTTTTTTTTTTTTTGTAGAGATGAGGTTTCGCCATGTTGGCCAGGCTGGTCTCAAACTCCTGACCTCAGGTGATCCAGCCACCTCAGCCTTCCAAAGTGTTAGGATTACAGGCGTGAGCCACCATGTTCGGCCAGTGCTATTATTATTAACACCCAGGATTAGTTAGAGGTACTATTATTTTTGTTAACCACTAAAAATATCTTTTTATTTTATTTTATTTTATTTTATTTTTTTGGAGATAGAGTCTCAGTCATTCTATCACCAAGGCTGGAGTGTAGTGGTATGATCTTAGCTCACTGCAACCTCTGCCTCCTGGGTTCGAATGAGCAATTCTCCTGCCTCAGTCTCCTGAGTAGCTGGGATTATAGGGATGCACCACCAAGCCTGGCTAATTTTTGTATTTTTAGTAGAGATTGGGTTCCACCACGTTGGCCAGGCTGGTCTCACACTTCTGACCTTAAGTGATCTGCCTGCCTCGGCCTCCCAAAGTGCTGGGACTACAGGTGTGAGTCATTGTGCCCGGCCAACACCACTTATAATATCTTTACTGTCCAAACAATGGAAACCATGGATGACAGACACCATTTGACCACAAGACAAATGAGAATAAGATAGGTGAGAATCTGTGGCCATCTGTGGGCAGGGCAGTTAACATGAATAATTCAAAGTAAGGAACAAAAATAAACACCAGTGATGAACTAACACTTGAACACGTGAAAGACATATTACGCTGTTGCATAGAAAAACTTAATATGCAAGACAAACTCTACCTAGGATAATCTAGAAACAGTAACTTCAAGAAATATATTGAATGGATTCATTTTTCTTCTATGAAGCTATACAATAAATAAGAATAGTCAGGACAACTCTGAAAAATAACAGGGCAAGGGGTCAGGCTAGCCCTGTTACATGTTAAAATATATTATGAAGCCTGATGGAAAGATCAACGGATCAGGAAAGAATGTCCAGAAATAGACCAAATACATGCAGGAATTTAGAGCATGACAAAGGTGGCATTTCAGTGGAAGATAGATTATAAACACGATAGTGAGATGACCAAGTAACCCTGCCTCACATCTTATGAACAAAACATATAAAAAAAAATAAAACCAGAAGCCCACAAACAAGTAAGCAAATTCTAGACTGGCCAATGATTTAAAATGTAAAAACATTAATAGAAGAGAAGATAATTCTTTTTTGTAAGACGGAGTCTTGCTCTTGTTGCCCAGGCTGGAGTGCAATAGCGTGATTTCGGCTTACTGCAACCTCTGCTTCCAGGGTTCAAGCGATTTACCTGCCACAGTCTCCCAAGTAGCTAGGATTACAGGTGCCTACTGCCAGCTAATTTTTGTATTTTAGTAGAGACGGGGTTTCGCCATGTTCGAGATCACCAGGCTGGCCTCGAACTCCTGACCTCAGGTGATCCACCCGCCTCAGCCTCCCAAAATGCTGGGATTACAGGCATCAGCCACCGTGCCCAGCCAAGGAAATATTTTTATAATTTCAGAACATGGATGGCTTTTATAAACTTGATAATACATGAAGAAGTCATTTTAAAAACCAAATATTAGCCAGGCATGGTGGCGTATGCCTGTAGTCCCAGCTACTTGGAAGGCTGAGGCAGAAGAATTGCCTGGACCTGAGAGATGGAGGTTGCAGTGAGCCGAGATTGCACCACTGCACTCCAGCCTGGTGACAGAGTGAGAATCTGTCTCAAAAAAAAACAAAAAAACAAAAAAACACAAACACACAAAATAAATCTATGCCAAGAAATAATTTTTCACCTATTAGATCAGTACACATAACCAAAATAAATCACAGTAGTAGAGAAAGACAGGGAAACAGGTACTCGCCTAGAGGGTGGGAGTAGAGATGTACCTTTCTCTACAAAGGACATCTCTGCAGGCCTATAGAGAGCAATATGGAAACACCCATCAAAATTATGGTTACGTATTTTTCAAACCAGAGATTCTTCTTACTCTGGAGCCCCTTTTTATTAGACACACATGCATGAGTATGACATCATGTAAATATAAACATAGTTTATGTACCATATTTTTAATGGAAAAAAGTTGGGAAACACCTAAATTTGCATCAGTAAAGAAGTACTACAATACATTAGTATATACCCATATAATGAAATGGTATACAGCTATCAAGAAAAAATAAGTCTTATCTAGAGACATGCACCAGAAAAATGATTTTTTTTTTTTTTTTGAGACGGAGTTTCGCTCTTGTTACCCACGCTGGAGTGCAGTGGCACAACCTCGGCTCACCGCAACCTCCGCCTCCTGGGTTCAAGCAATTGTCCTGCCTCAGCCTCCCGAGTAGCTGGGACTACAGGCGTGTGCCACCATACCCAGCTAATTTTTGTATTTTTAGTAGCGACAGGGTTTCACCATGTTGACCAGGATGGTCTCGTCTCGATCTCTTGACCTCGTGATCCACCCACCTTGGCCTCCCAAAGTGGTGGGATTATAGGCGTGAGCCACCACACCCAGCTGAAAAAAGATTTTTTAAAAAAAACAAGGCCCCTTTCTTTATACTGATTTCAAAAGATCTCTTTAAACATTAAGTTTAAAAAGAATGGCACACATCAGTATGTATGTATACATCTCATTTATATGAAATCAGGAAATACATATGTCATTACTTATTATACATAAATTGTCTGGAAGGATATATAAAATATTGTGAACACTGGCTGCCTCTGGAGAGGGAAAACTGGAAGGGGTTTAATGGAGGGAGGCCAACTTACATTTTACTGTATACTCCTTTTTACCATGTGAATGTATTAACTAACCTATTCAACAATTTTGAAAAAATTTTTTAACTACTAAAAAAAGTACACATTGTCCTTAGGGAAAAGGTATGGTTGAATTTAGAGAAGAAAGAATAAATTTTGTCCAAAACCGATTATCCTTCCCATAGCCACTCTGTAAGGCCACGGCTAATAGTCTCTGTGCCTTGCCTCACCCAGGCAGGGCCCCAAAAGTTCTGCAGCACTTGTCTTGCTTCTTCAAGAACAACAAATCCTCTTTTTGTATTTCTTTGGAAATACTGAGCACAAAGAGATGGCTAGGATTTCACAGAAATTACATGTTAACCTTTGGATCACTGCTGAAACTAAAGAATGGGTCTAGAAACCAAAAGGAAAGAACTGGATAGAACGCTGGAAATCTTAATGAATGCTGGAAAACGCTCTACATACTACTTCATTTTCTGTCTTGGTAATAGGGTAGCTAATAGAAGATAAAAACAGAGAAGATGAGAATGTTTTATGCAAATAACAATCTTTAGCATTCTTTACTCACACAGCAGTATTCCTTAGTGGGTACAAATTCATGCATAGAACAAGCTTTACCCAAAAGAACAAGTCCATACCATGCAGAACACAATCCCATGATGAAACCTCTCCAAAAGCCTGACTGGCTACTAAAACCAATTGGTGTTTTTTTAAATTCTGGAGTTAGTAGATACATCATGCAAGCTGGGAAACAGTGATTAAGAAATAGTGTCACTTGTAGGCTGTGAAAAACCTCAAAGACAAGGAAACCTTTTTTGAAAGATTCAGGGAGGCCACGATTAAATGTATACTTTTTGGAGGATTTGGGGGTGGGGGGAAACAGTGCTACCATTTCTAAATCTTTTTTTTTTTTTTGAGAGGGAGTCTCACTCTGTCACCCAGGCTGGAGTGCAGTGGTGTCATCTGGGCTCACTGCAACCTCTGCCTCCTGTGTTCAAGTGATTCTCCTGCCTCAGCCTCCTCTGTAGCTGGGATTACAGGTGCCCGCTACCATGCCTGGCTAATTTTGGTATTTTTAGTAGAGACGGGGTTTCACCATGAGACCAGGTCAGGCTGGTCTCAATCTCCTGACCTCAGGTGATCCACCCACTTCGGTCTCCCAAAGTGCAGGGATTACAGGCGTAAGCCACAGCAACCGGCCTCATTTCTAAATCTTAAAGGAACCATCTTCTTAATCTCATTCCAATTACTTGACTGATTAGAGCCCAAAAGGGTAAAATTATGAGAAACACAACATGGGCAAGTTTTACTGACTATGTTTGGTGGACATAGACTACGCCCAAAACTCAAACTCATATGCAACTGTGGGCCAAGGGATATAAACAACAGACTGGTCAAAAATGTATCTGTATTATTAAGAGATCATTTTCCACTACTAAAAACATAAATAAATCTGTGCCTACCAATGCTGGTTTGAGGTCACCATTTCCTCATAAGGAGGTAGACTGATTTCATTTAACCTAAAAGCAATTTGGATATTTAGTCCCACCAGCACAAGCCACACATGCAGTGAAAAAAATCTCATGCATATAGTTAGACATAAAATATTTTTTCTTTTCTCCTGTGAATCCTTATATCAAGTAATGATTAAAATTTAGCTGTAAACTTTATACATAGGAGGCACAATTTAAAAAAAATTAAGAAATGGATGATGATAGGTCTTCTGTTAGACAATTCATTGAAAATTCAACTTCCCCTAAAATTCAACGTTCAGTGCTGGGTAAAAAGGCATGCAACCAAGTTACCAGCCTCCTCAAGCTGGACACAAGGAGCACACTGGCTGCAGAAAACACACAACAGCAGTTACAGGTTTCATGCTGGCAAACCAATGATTAACAAGGATGATTAGAGTCTGGATGGAGCCAAGGCACGAGCTCTTTGCCTTTTTGATGCTGACTCAAAAGCCACAAGCACACACATTTCCGCACGGCAGGTTCATACCAGTGGACTTCAGTTGCTTATATCTCTCTTGTTCCTGGATTGTAGACTTTGGCAAAAGTGGAGTAAGTCCACGGGACTTGGTGGGTCTCATGTAGCCTTTCATTGGTTCTGTCATTCTGCTTTTATCTTCCTTTTTCCCTTCTCCCAGTGTCTTTGATTCAGATTTTTCTGTCATTTTCTGAGGTGTCTCTGAGATCTTATCTTTGGGTTCTGGGAGTCGAACACCCTTGGAAGCAGTCATTATTACTAACTTATCCGCCACATCTGAAGGAGGAGCTTCGGCTTTGCTATGTAAGAAATCTGACCTGATTTCTGGTGTTGGCAAGGAAACACTTTCCAATTCCATGATTTTACAAGTCAGACTAATCCCTTTCAATTTATCATTTTCACTTTTTGGAGACAAAAGAGTCAGATTTACCTGCTTATTCAAACTATCTGTACCCTTGGAATTTCTATCTTGAGCATTTTGGTCCTCACAAAAACTGAGCTTTTGTGCTTTGTCTTCTAGTAAGTCAGGAAGTTGAACTGGGGCAGACCCTTCTTTAGTCTCTTTCTCTTCGTTCACTAAATGTGCTGGGAAATTACCTCTATCTGCATATGCTTCTAGGGCTCCGACCTCTCTTGGTAGGCTCTGATCTTCTACTGGCACTCCAGGAAGGAAGTGACGTTTTGCTAGTGCTGTGACTTTCTCTACTGAATGCTTAGATGCACCATTGTGCACTGACTCATATTCTCCTACCACATGCCCTTCATCGATCCCTGCTTCATTTTTCATGGAATCAGCAAGCTCACCTTTATTCTTAAGAGAGTTATCTCCATGACTGTTAACTGTTTCTATGGCTGCTGTAATAGGCAGAGCAACTCCTCCTGTGCTTGTAGAGGGCACAACAGCAGAGGGAGGCTTGGGTCTTTCTTGACCTGGGACTCCATCTTTGGTATAGTTATCTACTACTAATGATTTAGAAATCTGGGCTGGGGTTATCTCTTGCCCATTTTTTGCCAAGGTATCTGGAAAGGAATCACTTTCCTTTACTACTTGAGAAGTAGGAGTGGGCAGTTTTTCACAGGCTGCTGATTTCAGAACCTCTAGAGGAAATGACTTATTCATCAGCTCTGATGGTGTTCTGGGACAGGTAAATGTAATATTTCTATTTTCGTCCATATAGGCCATTCCTTCCATTCCCTGGTCCCCTGTGGTTTCCATGGGAACATGTATTTTTGTTGCATCTATCTTATTCTCCAGAATGTGTTTCTCAGGAGAACTATTTTTAACCTTTTTACTTTTTCCATCATTACTCCTTTTACTTGGTTTGTCAGCTACTGCAGTGTGTCTATTGGCTGCATCTGTCTCATTCTCCTCAGATAGTACTGAAGGAACAAATCCTGCTCCCTGGATTTGCTCTTGGCAGTTCACATCTGTCACCTTGGCAGCTGGTTCAGTAACAGCAGAAGCCTTGACTGTACTTGTTTTGCTTTCCTCAAGAGTCCCAAGCTCAACAAAATTAACCTCAACATTTCCACACTTTCTGTCAACTGCTTTGACTGTGGGTGTACCTGCTATATGTAAGAACAACAAATCATGTGTTTTGGGGAAAGTAAGTCCTAATTCCTCGCTTTTATGGGGAATACTACCAGCAACTCCGTCCTTTCCTTCAAAAGGTGGGTTGAGGATTTCTTCCTTCCTCTCCATTTTAGCAGGCTGTGTGGAATAATTATTTCGAAACTTTCTGCTTTTGCCTTCATTGCCTCTCTTTTTAGGCTTTTCAGAAATCCAGGGAGCTGTCTCATGATCCTTCCAAGGACATTTTCCTTCCTTGCTCTGGTTACTGACACTCATATCTTTGACTCCATCTCCTGTTTCTGTCCTAACACCAGAAGTCTGAGTCATGTCTGATTTACTTTCCAAGGGAATCAATGCCTGCAGGGTGTCTGCCACCTTAAGCTGAGTAGTTTCTTTAGGCTCCCCTATCACTGCTGCCTCCATGAGATCACTCATAGTGCCTGGTTGCTTTGAATAATTCAGCCCCAGCTCCTCACTCTTATCCTGAGTAGCCATTCCTTCAGTTTTAGGGACTGGCTCACTCTGTATGAGGACAGCCCTTCCTTCCTTCTGGCTGTCCAGAAGAAACGGCAGCTCAGATTTTGCTTTTACCTTCCCAGAATCTGTTCTCATTTTCCCAGAACTTCCCCTTCCCTTCCTGCTTTTGCCATCACCTGCCATTCTCTTAAATGGTTCATTCTCTAGCCCAGGGACCTGTACCATCACTTGGCCCTGCAGCTGCTCAGAAGTAAAGATGCTAATCTCTTGTCTTTGCTTGGGAAAAGCTTCCTTTTTTAGTTCTTTATCCTCTCCAGCTCCTTCAGGAAACTCTTTCTGTTTGACATTCTGCAGTTTAGTCATTTTGCTTTCACTATTCCCTTCTTTTAGATTACATTCTAATAGATTACTTGCTATCAAATTTGGTAGTTCTTTTGCTGCTGTGGGTTTTAAAACTATACCCATAACCTCTTGGTCCAAGAGAGGACAGCAACTCTCTTTGAGTGTGCTATCCAAATGAGTTTCTACATTGTATGCTGAAACTTCTGCTAGGGGCCCTTTCAGATTTAGAGGGCCTACTAACTGGCTTTTATCTACAGGAATCTTCAGGTCGGGTGCAGGCTGTGGTTTGTATTCATGTTGCTTCAGCAATTTCTTGTCTTGGCTTTGTGGTACTGACTTGTTACCTTTGCTCTCTTCATCTTCTCTCAGTGTGGACTGAGAACTTACTGCAGTTTCTGGGGGTTCTTCTGAAGGACATAAAGGAATTCTGAGGCTGTCTGAGACAAAGTTCTCAGCTACCAGTCTGGCTGCACTAGAGTCAACTACACATTCCCTTTTCAAGTTTTCTCCAGATACAAGTCCATATTCTGTACTCATAGTGGTAGGTTGGCTGGGAAGAACACCTGCTTTTTGTGTGTCAGCTGGAAAGGGATGACCTTTAGGCTTATCTGCATTGTCATCATTCCAAGGTCCTCCAGCCCGGGGTTGAGAGTATCTCTTTTGTTTTGGTTTCTTCTTCTTTTTCTTCATCATCATTGGTGTGCTTTCTATATCCCAGGACTCCCTGCCAAGATCCCTCTGGGGTTCAAGTGAGTCAACATGAATACTTTTCCTTTGGTTCCTAGGTTCACCACAGGAGGATGAACTAGAGACCCAACCTGACTCAGACAAAGAGCAGTGGCCCAGCCTGTGATCAAGAGTCTTCCATGGAGGAGGGCCTCCCAGCAGCTCAGGAGGGACCCTGGCAGGCTTGGGCCGGGCTGACCTGTGGTCACTGGGTCTGCAAGCTTGTTTGGCTTGTGTGGGAGGGGTACCGGAAAACATGAAGTTGGCTAAAATTCCAAACAAAAAACTCCTTGTTATTGTTTCTTAAAAACAAAACAAACAAACAAAAAACCCCAGATAATAGCTCATTTAAGCAGACTATTTTCACCAATCCATATATTACTTAATGTAATTTGCTCAGGAAAAGTTTTTTTCTAAAACATCTCTCACTTTTAACTGGTGCTAGCAAAAATATTTAACATAGATCATCATCTCAGGTAAATATTGTTTTCAAACATATTTATAAAATATTTGAAATACTTCATTTCAGACATAGCAGGACTGAACTTTAAAAAATGAAATATTTTGGGCTGGGCACCGTGGCTTATGCCTATAATCCCAGCACTTTGGGAGGCTGAGGTGGGTGGATCACAAGGTCAGGAGTTCAAGACCAGCCTGATCAACATGGTGAAACCCTGTCTCTACTAAAAATACAAAAAAAATTAGCCAGGCGTGGTGGCGCGTGCCTGTAATCCCAGCTACTCAGGAGGCTGAGGCAGGCGAGTTGCTGGAACCCAGGAGGCAGAAGTTGCAGTAAGCCAAGATCGTGCCATTGCATTCCAGTCTGGGTGACAGAGCAAGAATCTGTCTCAAAAAAAAAAAAAAAAAAAGAAAGAAAAGAAAAGAAATGTTTCAAATCTTCTAACCTCTAAAATAAGCACTTACTGCCTGTAAATCTCATCTGATTTATATTGGTCATTATTAGTGCTTGCCTCTTTTTTGGTGAAATTTATTAGTTGCTTCAGTTAAATATACATGATTTTGGACAGAATTTATAATTCTAAGAGTTGGTCATCAATATTAAACTAATACTTGTCAAACAAATCAGATGGATTCTGGGAACTAGATCAGAGGTCCACACCTAAGTCACTTCACACACATAAACAAAATATAATGAATCCACATTTTGGTCAGAGAAAAATTTTCATCATTTCAGAACAAAAGCATCCTACTTCGAAAGACAAGTATGTTAAATTTCAACGTTCTGCTCCTAAATGTACTTCCCAAAAGACAGAGAAATACATACAATGTTAAGTAGGATAATTAATTTCAACAATTAAGATGAGCACCTTTGGAAGAGCTTCAGCAGGTGATCTGGTCCAACCTGCCTCCAAGTTAATATGGATCCAAGATCCTGGAAAGAGTCTCATTAAGAGCAGGTGTATGCCAGCTCCTGTAAAGTCTGACCCAATAAACTGATTTCCAGGAGTATTATAATATGCAAATTGTATCTTTCATTCTTGTCCTTTTCTTTCCAATATCATCTAAATTCTACCGTTTATTTAATATCTTAGGTTAATTATTGCATCGCTCAAAAAATTGCTAGGCTAAAACACCCCACAGCATTTATAAAATTTAATTCAGCAATTACTCCGCAGCTATTCAATGCCATCTTTTATGCTATTTTATTCAATTATTATGTAAATCTTGAGTTTCAGAGTTCATGCCTGAGAACTTCTCTCTTCATTCAGGTTATAATATAATAATTCGGGGGCAAAGACTGGGACTTAAATATCTATGTGCCTTAACATGGTGTATTTTGTACAAAATAAGCATTTGATTTATTGTGCTAGATAGTGTGCAAAGTACTAGAGATTCTAAGTAAAATAAGTCATGGCCCCTGCCCTCAGGATGTCCATATTCCAATCACAGTCACAGAAAAGTAAACAGAAAATCAAGTTGATAACCATATACATATGCTTTTGGCTTATCAAAACCAGGTAATCTTAAAATTCACCAAATAATCAGATTTTAAGTTGGAAAGTATCTTAGAGAGTACCTCTCACATTTTAATAACAATTAGAATTATCCAAGGATCTTATTAAAATGCAGATTATAATTACAAAAGCCTGAGGTAGAGCCCAAAATTCTGCATTTCTAACAGGCTCTCAGGCATTGGAGATGCTGTTGGGCCACGGAACACTGTAACTAATAAGGCTCTAGAGATCATTTGACCAATTAATTTATCTTATAGCTGAGTAAACTGAGATATGGGCAAGTTATGTAACTTGCCTAAGAGCACACAGGATAGAGTAATGAACAGCTGAACTGGATCAAATTTTGGTGTCGTTTCTTCACTATGAAAACAGTGGAGATTCACTGGGGGGAGGGAGAAAAAAAACAGAAAAAATAAGAAAACAGTGGAGAAGGCCGGGTGCAGTGACTCATGTCTGATAATCTCAACACTTTGGGAGGTAGAGGCAGGCAGATCACCTGAAGTTAGGAATTCGAGACCAGCCTGGCAAACGGGGTAAAACCCTGTCTCTACTAAAAACACAACAATTAGCTGGGTATGGTGGTGCATGCCTGTAATCCCAGCTACTTGGGAGGCTGAGGCAGGAGAATCGTCTGAACCCGGTAGGCAGAGGTTGCAGTGAGCTGAGATCACACCAGTGTACTCCAGCCTGGGCGACAGAGCAAAACTCTGTCTCAAAAAAACAAGCAAACAAACAAAAAACAGTAAAGGAAAAAAAATTTAGGTGTCCTGATTTGCTGTAGTAGTAATTTTAAAAGATATAACAGGCCAGGCGCAGAGGCTCATGCCTGTAATCCCAGGACTTTGGGAGGCCAAGGCAGGCAGAACACGAGGTCAGGAGATCGAGACCATCCTGGCCAAAATGGTGAAGCCCTGTTCTACTAAAATACAAAACACTAGCCAGGCGTGGTGGCATGTGCCTGTAGTCCCAGCTACTCAGGAGGCTGAGGCAGAGGAATCACTTGAACCGCAGGAGGCGGAGGTTGCAGTGAGCTGAGATCGCGCCACTGCACTCCAGCCTGGTGATAGAGCAAGACTCTTTCTCAAAAAAAAAGATATAACAAGCTGCCTTTCTGTCTAAACAAGATAAAATCTGTCTAAGAGAATTAACTTCATAAACTATACTGCTAATTACCACCATACAACAGGGAACTAGAGACAATGTCTACCATCACTACTCCATTGCCCCTAATTTGTTTCAAAGAGTTCCTTTTGTTTTCCTAACTTACCTGAGATCTCTGAAGAAAGCTCAGAAGGTTGACTGTTGCATGGTTTCTTTTCCTCTAATTTTTCTAACACAGAGTCTTCATTGGCTGGCAAGCTGCACTTTTCCCCCATATCTGTGACGGGTTCTAAAGGTAGCAACAAAAAGCACACATGTTTCAGAGAAGCACTATTTCAGCCATTTTCCACCTGCCAGAAATTGAATATGGGATTCGTTTCTAAGGAGTTCTCCTACAAGGGGCAGCAGAGAAGTAAAGTGGTAGTTGGAAACTGAAGTTGGGAGAGTTTGTCATCTTTTTTTTTTTTTGAGACGGAGTCTTGTGCTGTCGCCCAGGCTGTAGTGCAGTGGCGCGACCTCGGCTCACTGCAATCTCTGCCTCCTGGCTTCAAGCAATTCTCCTGCCTCAGCCTCCTGAGTAGCTGGGACTACAGGTGTGGGCTGCCATGTCCAGCTAAGTTTTTTTGTATTTTTAGTAGAGATGGGGTTTCACCATGTTGGCCCAGATAGTCTTGATCTCCTGACCTCATGATCTGCCCGCCTCGGCCTCCCAAAGTGCTGGGATTATAGGCGTGAGCCACCGTGCCCAGCTTGTTTTGTTTTTAAGATGGGAAAAATAATAAATGTTTGTAAGTTGGTGGGAATGATCCAATGGAAAAGGATTTAAATTGGTGAGGGGCAAAAAATGAGGAAAATACGCAGGGCAATATATCAAGTAGGAAAAAGGAGATGGAATCTACTGCAAAATGAGAGGTTGGTCTTAATTAGGAGCAGGAACAGTTTACTTATAAAAAACAGGAGCATTTTCATAAGCAGAGTCCATGGATACAGACACAAGTAGCTGGGTAGGTAAAAGAATAAAAGTTTGTGGATGTTCTATTTTATTGCTTGAATTATCTGAAAGAAAAACAGGACAATCAGCAGAGAATGAAGACAGAAAAGGTAGGTGTTAGAGGTGGGAGGAGGGAAAAGGTGAGAAAGAGTTGTCTAGGAGAGCAGGAGTATGAATAAACTTGCAAAGTACAGCGTGACTGTCTGTACTTTACCTGGCATGATGTTTGTCCTTAGTCTTCTTGAGACTACACCCTGGTAGAGAAAAATACTGAGAGTAAGCACAAGTACATACCTGGTGAAATCATCAAAGTAGGTGCAGCTGACTGCCCCGAATCCTGCAGAGATTCTAAAAGGGAATCCTCACTTATTCCTTTTTGTGTTTGTGCAATTTCCATGTCTTTAATTGGAACTGATGTTGCCTCTGTTTCTGAGAGTGGTGTAACATCTTTGGCTGGAGTCACATTGTTGGCCGGGGTCAGAACCCCATCCTTAGCCAGGGCTGCTTCTGTTTTGGGTGCTGGGACCTGGTCCTTAGTCAGGACCACCTCTGTTTCTGGAGGCAGACATACGTTCTTCATGAGAACTACTTCTGTTTCTGGAGGTGGAGTCACATCCTTGCCCAGAGCCATTTCTGTTTCTGACAGTGGAGACAGGTCCTTCTTCAACGAGGCCACTTCTTTTTCTGTGGACGGAGCCACATGCTTGCCCAGGGCCACTTCTGTTTCTGGGAGTTGAGCCATGTCCTTGACTGGGGCCACCTCTGCTTCTAAAGGCAGTGCTTTATCCTTGGTCAAGAACACATTGGTTTCTGGGGGCTGTGCCATGTCGATAGCCAGGGCTACCTCTGTTTCGGAGGACAAAGCCACTTTCTCAGTGGAGGATGTTTCTGAGGATGATATAATGTCTTTAGCCTGTGCCACCTCTATTTCTGAGGGTAACGCCAAACCCTTGGCTGGGGCTATCTCATTTTCTTTCGGTGGTTCCATGTCCTTGGAAGAAGCCAAGTCCATTTTTATAGGAGGTGCCCTCTCTGTTTCTTTGAACAGTGTCACATTCTTGGCTGGGGCTATCCCTGTTTCTGTGGGAAGTACCACATGCTTGGCCAAAGACATATCTGTTTCTGTGGGCCATCCGACATCCTTAACTGGGGTCACTTCTGTTTCTATGGGTAGTTCCATGTCCTTGACTGGGGCCATATCTGATTCCATGGATGGCTGTGTGTCCCTGGCCAGAGTCACATCTAATTTGGTGGGTGGTTCCATATCTTTAGCCAATGCCACTTCTTGTGCCATGTCCTTGGTGACAGCTATATCTGTTTCTTTAGATGGTGCCATATCCGTAGTATTCAGTCCCATCATTATTTCCAGTGCTTGTGCTGGTGGCCTCTCTTCTTCTGATGCCATTTCTATTTCCTTGGCTAGCTCTAAAGGAAAAAAATTGGAAATTTAGGACACATCATTGTCTACTCATACCTTTGCATTAAAAATGTTTACTTTCTTCAGGCATAAGAGTATTTGGGTTTTGTGACCATAAGACTGTACACATAACTAAGAAGCTAATGTCAAGTAACCTATTCTGCCTACTCTTTGACAGTCTCAACACTTGGAAGAATAAGATGTAAGATAGTAGGAGGACAAGTAGTGGAGGAGAAAAGGCAAAGAAGAGAGAAAACACAGGCTTAAAAAAAAAAAAAAAAAAAACACGTGCACAGAATTAGTATTAGAAAGAGAATCTGTGGGACAACAGGTCAGTCATGCTTCCTATCAAGAAAAATCCCAGAGTTCTAAATCTGTACTGAATTTTTTCTTTTTGAGATGGGGTCTCACTCTGGGTTGCCCAGGATGGAGTACAGTAGCATGATCTTGGCTCCAGGGTCCAAGTGATTCTCCTGTCTCAGATACCTAGTAGTTGGGATTATAGGTGCCCACCACCATGCCCAGCTAATTTTTTTCTTTTAAGAGATGGAGTTTCACTCTTTCACCCAGGCTGCAGTGCAGTGGCATGATCTCAGCTCACTGTAACCTCCACCTTCTGGTTTCAAGCAATTCTCCTGCCTTGGCCTCCCGAGTAGCTGGGAATGCAGGTGCCTACCACCACACTTGGCTAATTTTTGTATTTTTAGTAGAGATGGGGTTTCACCATGTTGGCCATGGCCAGGCTGGTCTCAAACTCCTGACCTTGTGATCTGCCCACCTTGGCCTATCAAAGTGCTGGAATTACAGGTATGAGCCCCTGTGCCCGGCCCAATTTTTGTATTTTTTGTAGAAAGGGGGTTTCACCATATTTGTCAGGCTGGTCTGAAACTCCTGACCTCAAGTGATCTGCCTGCGTCAGCTTCCCAAAGTGCTGCGATTACCGGTGTGAGCCACCACACCCAGCCGCAAATCTATACTGAATTTTTAAAAATTCAGATACCTAATACAATGAAAATGTGATGTAAAAAACATATATATATATTAAAAAAATAAAAAATTTTATTTATTTGCCCATTAACCCAAAGTGTTGTAGTTCAATAATTCCTCCAGTGGTGACTGTGACAGTTCTGAAAAAAAATTTTTTTTGAGACAGAGTCTCGCTCTGTTGCCAGGCCGGAGTGCAGTGGCGCAATCTCGGCTCACTGCAATCTCTGCCTCCCAGGTTCAAGTGACTCTCCTGCCTCAGTTTCCAAGTAGCTGGGACTACAGGCGTGTGCCACCACACCACTCAGCTAATTTTTGTATTTTTAGTAGATGAGGTTTCACCATGTTGGCCAGGATGGTCTCGATGTCTTGACCTTATGATCCACCTGCCTTGGCCTCCTAAAGTGCTGGGATTATAGGTGTGAGCCACTGCACCCAGCCTAAAATCTTTTTTTTTTTTGAGACAGAGTCTTGCTCTGTCATTTGGGCTGGAGTACAGTGCATGATCTCAGCTTACTGCAACCTCCACTTCCTGGGTTCAAATTCCCCTGCCTCAGCTTCCCAAGGAGCTGGGATTACAGGCACCTGCCACTACGCCCAGCTAACTTTTTGTATTTTTAGTAGAGACAGGGTTTCACCATTGTGGCCAGGTTGGTCTCAAATTCCTGATTCACCCACCTCAGTCTCCCAAAGTGCTGGGATTACAGGTGTGAGCCACTGTACCCAACCAGTTCCAAAATTTTTATATCTGCTGTAAGCTGCTAAAAATATACCAAATGACTTATATTGATTATCAATACTGCAACCATTAACTGTTAAAGGGAGTCTCTAATATTTTACCTGCTGTTGGCTGAGGAGGTTCTGCACTGGCCTCTGGGGAAACAAAGGACTGTGAGTGTGGAGAGTTTAAGGCTTCCACAGACCACTCCTGAGGTACAACAGCTGTGTTGCAGGGAGACATACCTAATATTGAAACACAAACAAACACATTTTGAAACTTGGTAAACACTGGAAGCAAATGATATCTGATATTTAAAATCAGCTGCATATATTGCCAGGAAGATAGACTAATAAAAGCAATGCCAAAAAATTTTAAAGGAAACACTGCTGACATTCTTCAGGTTTTAGCTAGTTGTTAGTAGGTGGTATAGTATATCCCAATATGCCACTAATCAACATTCATTGTCTACCTTCTACAGGATAATATAAAGATTCAAAACATCAATCATTGAACTCTGGTTCTAATACCATAACCAACATAATATACTATAGTAAAGAATTTTTTGTGAGCCTTAATTTCTTCCTCTGCAAAATGAGATGAACACCTTTCTTTCCAATATTAGAAGACAATTTTACGAAGATACTTTGTAGCAGGTTTTTGTTGTTGTTTTTGAGATGCAGTTTCACTCTTTTGCCCAGGCTGGAGTGCAGTGGCATGATCTCAGCTCACTACAACCTCCACCTCCCAGGTTCAAGTGATTCTCCTGCCTCAGCCACCCAAGTAGCTGGGATTATAGGCATGTGCCACCTAATTTTCATATTTTGAAATTTTTATATTTTCATTACAGGCATGCCCAGCTAATTTTCATATTTTTATTTTATTTTATTTTATTTATTTATGAGATGGAGTCTTGCTCTTGTCACCCAGGCTGGAATGCAATGGCATGATCTCAGCTCACTGCAACCTCCGCCTCCCAGGTTCAAATGATTCTCCTGCCTCAGCCTCCTGAGTAGCTGGGATTACAGGCATCCTGTAATTTTTGTATTTTTAGTAGAGACGGGGTTTCACTAAGTTGGCTAGGTTGGTCTCGAACTCCTGACCTCAGGTGATCTGCCCACTTCTGCCTCCCAAAGTGGTGGGATTACAGGTATGAGCCACTGCACCTGGCCTCAAGTGATCCACCCGCCTTGGCCTCCCAAACTGCTGGCATTATAGGTGTGAGCCACCAAGCCCAGCTGGTTTTTTTTTGAGACTGGGTCTCACTCTGTTGTCTAGGCTGGGGTACAGTGGCATGATCATGGCTCGCTGCAGCCTCGACCTTCTGGGCTCAAGCAATCCTTCCACCTCAGCCTCCTGTAGGTATGTGCCACCATACCTGGCTGAATTTTAAATTTGTTTTGTAGGACAGGATCTCACTCTGTTGTCCAGATTGGTTTCAAATTCCTGGACTCAAGCAATCTTCCTGCCTCAGTTTCCCAAAGTGCTAGGGTTACAGGCATAAGCCACTGTGTCTGGCTGTAAATGAACAACTAGACAAATGTGGCTGGGTGCAAAGGCTTACGCCTGTAATCCCAGCACTTTGGGAGGCTGAGGCGGGTAGATCACTTGAGCCCAGGAATTCGAGATCAGGCTGGGCAATGTGGCAAGACTCCAACTCTACAAAAAATTACCCAGGCGTAGTGGTACATGCCTGTAATCCCAGCTACTCAGGAGATTGAAGTGGGAGGATCACATCAGTCAGGAAGTCAAGGCTGTAGTTAGCCTTGATTGCATCACTGTATTCCAGCCTGGGTAGGCCGAGTGAGACCCTGTCCCAAAAAAAAAAAAAAAAAAAAAAAAAAGGGAGATCACAGCCCAATTGTGAATCTGTGAGTTGTCTCCTTTGATTAATCCAAAGAGAGCCTTGTCACAGCCAGAGCCCCTAAATCTGACTTTCTTAGTGGTTAACTTCAAAGGTGATGTGTGAAAGGCCATGTTGTTTGGCATTAAACAACTAAAGGAGACTAGAATATGCCACCCCAAAATACGCTACTTTGACGTAAGAACATTTTTAAGCTGAAGGCTATTATTAGCCTGGAGATGGCACCATAGGAATCTACGTAGAAACCTTTACTAACTAGCTTTTACCTACCATTTACTTGCCTCCCAATATTTGCGGGCCCTAGAGACTCAAAAATATTTTTCCTTCATCTTGTCACTTCTCAAAAATTTTTTTTGAGATGGAGTCTTGCTCTGTCACCCAGGCTGGAGTGCAGTGGTGCAATCTTGGCCCACTGCAACCTCTGCCTCCCGGGTTCAAGCAATTCTCCTGCCTCAGTCTCCTGAGCAGCTGGGACTAGAGGCGCACATCAGCATGCCTGGCTAATTTTTTGTATTTTTAGTAGACGTGGGGTTTCACCATATTGGCCAGGCTGGTCTCGAACTCCTGACCTCATGATCCACCCACCTCAGCCTCCCAAAAGTGCTGGGATTACAGGCGTGAGCCACCGTGCGTGGCCTCAAAAAAAAATTTATCTTTTTTTTATTGAAGAAGCTACATAAGCTGGAATCGTAAAGCCACCTCTTGCAGAATTACTAATTCTCTAGGTACCTCTCATGCACGTATGAAATTCACATGTTAAACTTTAGTCTCTTCTTTCTTTTCTTTTTTTTTTTTTCAGATGGAGTCTTGCTCTGTCACCCAGGCTGGAGTGCAGTGGCTCAATACAACCTCTGCCTCCCAGGTTCAAGCGATTCTCCTGCCTCAGCCTCCCGAGTAGCTGGGATTATAGGCTAATGCCACCACGCCAGACTAAATTTTTTGTATTTTTAGTAAAGACGAGGTTTCACCATGTTGGTCAGGCTGGTCTTGAACTCCTGACCTTGTGATCCTTCCGCCTTGGCCTCTCAAAGTGCTGGGATTACAAGCAGAGCCACTGCGCCTGGCCTTTTTTCTTATTAATCAATCTTTTATTATTAAAGCCCTAGTCAGTGAACCTAAGATGAATAAAGGAAAAATTTTTTTCCTTCCCTACAGAATAAATCCATTTGGAGAAGCCATACCATAGCTGTCTTTCAAGGGATCACTTTGTCCTGTAAATATTGAAGAATTGCCTGTTCCACTGGAGATAAAGACCAAATCTGTCAGGCCATCATCACGGTACATCTTAAAGGGATCTGGAATAGAGAAGAAATCCAAAACTCATTCCTGGCGAATGCAACTAGAAAGATTAATATTTTTTTCTTTTTTTTCTTTTTGGGGTGGAGTCTTGCTCTGTTTTTTCTTTTTGGGGTGGAGTCTGTTCCCCAGGCTGGAGTGCAGTGGTGCAATTTTGGCTCACTGCAATTTCCACCTCCAAGGATCAAGTGATTCTCTGCGTCAGCCTCTTAAGTAGCTGGGATTACAGGTGCGTGCCACCATGCCTGGCTATTTTTTGTATTTTTTTTGTGTGGTAGTGATGGGGTTTCTCCATGCTGGCCAGGTTGGTCTCAAACTCCAGATCTCAAGTGATCTACCCGCCTCGGCCTCTCAAAGTGTTGGGATTACAGGTGTGAGCCACTGTGCCCAGCCAATATTTCTTATTATCCTATGATGAATATAGATGAGTTGTCAATAGTAAGTAAAATAAATTGAGATCATATGTGATTGTACATGGTAGAGAATCAATATTCACTCATTTGTTTGTTAATAATAAATATTCCCTTCTCTAAGATTTGGTTATATACATTAGATAGCCAACGAATGTATAAAACAAAAAGGGCAACTAATGCTCAACTGTGTAACAAACTAAGAGGTGAAAGTATATAAAACTAAATTTTCAATGTACATTTACATAACATTCATACTTTTTAAAAAGACAGAGCCATAAGAAGCTTTTAAAAAAACAAAAACAAGAAGGAATTTTTCACCTCATGGAGATGAAGAAAACTGAATTTCAAAACTGTCTGAATGGGACAAGATAAATAATTGGTATTCTGAGAGAAGAAATAAACTCTTGACTCAGGAGCTGGCATGAATAAAAGCACTCAAAACATCAGGTAAATTCTTTGTGCTTTTGTAGGCTTCTATTTTCTGAGGAGGGCTTTCAGAATGTATCTTATATCTCAATCACCCTGAAGGCTTATTAAAATGAAGATTGCTGGTTCCTGAGAATCTGCATTTCCAACTAGTTCCTGAGTACACTAACACATCACTTCCTTGAGACACTTTAATTGTCATAGACAGTTGCATAAAAGCCCAGGCCTTGAGAGAATGTTCATTTTCTTGCCTCTGAGGCAGCTATACCACTCTCTTTTTGTAAGGAATTTCAGGATTAGGGAAGACCACTGCATCAGGAAGTATGAACAAGCAGAAGGCAATACTGGGAAACTTGTTGAGACAACTTCTTCAGAAAAGCACAGGAGCCTAGAAAAGTGATGCACACCCTGGCTACTTGAGAGGCTGAGGTGGGAGGATCTTCTTGAGGCCAGGAGTTCAAGGCTGCAGTGCACTATCATATGGTGACTATGAATAGTCACTGCACTCCTATCTGGGCAACAATGCTAGACCTCCATCTTTAAAAACAAAAACACAGCCTGTTTTTTGTTTAAAAACAACAAGAAAGAAAACCCTTTTCAAAAAACAGAAAAATTGGCCAGGCATAGTTGCGGACCCCTGAAGTCCCAGCTACTCAGCAGGTGGAGGTGAAAGATCAGAGGTGGAGTCTGCGGTTAAGTCATGGTTGCACCACTGCGCTACAGCCTGAGTGACAGAGTGAAACTCCATCTCAAAATAAATAAATAAAAATAAAAACAAACAAACAAAAAAACCAAAATGAAATTAAAAAAAAAAAAAAAGAAGAGGAGGTAGAATATTAAAGAGACGATAAACATTCATTCTTCTCAGTTCTATATGTTTTGGGGTAGCTTGCTGTTTTCTCTGCCTCTCATACTTCCCCTGAGGGAAAATTGGATTCTTAAAGCATCTAAAAGAGTAAATGCTGTATGGTTTGCCCCTTAAGATGGGAGCTTACTAAATTACATGTAAAAATAGATGATCCTTACAGAGTTTTGTCATTTAGTCATTAATTTTTTCCTGGGTGCCTACCACGTGGCAGTTTTTTATGCTCTAAAAAACCCAAAGATGTACAAGGTCAGGGATGGGAACATTTAGCCACAGGATATATTTTGGTTCAAGTTAAGGGACATCTTTGGTTGGTAAGTATTTAAGCTGAGAACTAAAGTATTTAAGCTGAGAACTAAAGAACTGAGTGGTTATGAGGAGTGGGACAAACCTTCTCTCTCTCTACATTCCCTCTCATCTAATCCCACAGTTTAAAATTCCATCTATAGGTTGATAACACCTGAATTTATAGCTCAAGACTTCTAGACCTCTCCCCTTATTTTCAGACTTTTATGTAGCATGTTTCCAAATCTACTCCTTATATAGTCTTTCCATCTCTAATGGCATTCTATCCTTCTATCTTTTTTTCAAAAACCTTGGAGTCATCTTTTATTTTTATTATTTTGAATGGGGTCTCACTGTATTGCCCAGGCATGTCTCGAACTCCTGGGCTCAAGCTATCCTACCACCTCTGCCTCCCAAAGGGCTGGGATCATAGGTGTGAGCCATAACGCCCGGCAGGAGTCATCTTGGACCTCTCTTTTTCACACACCACAGCCAACCTACCAGAAAATCCATTGCACTTGACCTTCAAATATTCCCCAGAACCTATTTCTTCCCCAGCTCCATGACTAGCGTATCTCATAAGGTTGCAGTCAAGCGGTTGGCCAGGGGCTGTGGTGATCTGAAGACTTAATTGGGGCTGCAGAACCTGCCTGTAAGATGGCTTAGTCACATGGCTGTTGACTGGATGCCTCTGTTCCTCTCCCATGTGTGCCTCTCCATATCAGCTGGTTTTTGTCATGATGCATAAACCCAGAGTGATCAAAATGGAAGATACCATATTTTTTGTAATTTAATCAGAAATGACATCATTAGTTCTGCCATCTATTCTACTAATCACACAGACCAAGCCTAGTACAACATGGAAGGTGACTACACAAGGGTATGAATACCAGGAGGCAGGGATCATTGGGAGCCATTGGCAGTTGACTACCACATTCAACTTTTCAGGAAATTAAACTCTCCTGAATTTTTTTTTCCTACTTCAAAATAGGTCATTCCTTTGTTACCCTTGCTGGCTCCTCTTCTTCCTGATTTAAATTATTTATTTATTTATCACTTGAGCTCAGGTGGTTGAGGCTGCAGTGAGCTGAGATTGCACCAATGCACTCCAGCCTGGGTGACAGAGGGAGATTCTGTCTCAAAAAATAAAATAATGAACAAAATATGGTATATCCATACAATGGAATATTACATGTCCATAAAGAAAGTACTGATACATGCCACAAAATGCAGGACTCCTCAAAATGTTATGCTAAGTGGAAAAAAAAAGACACAAAGAAACTACATTATATGATTCCCTTTATATGAAATATCCAATGTAAGCAAATTTAAAGAGACAAATTGATGGTTGCTTAGCATTGTGGTGGATAGGGAGATGGAGGTGATATTTAAAAGACATAAAGTTTTTTTTGTGGTAACAAAGTGTTCTAAAATTGACTTTGGTTATTTATCTACCTGACTGACTGCCTGCCTTCCTACCTACCCACCTATCTACCTACATATCTATCAGGGATAGCAGCTGTGTGTGTTGCCCAGGCTAGAGTACAGCAGCATGATTCAAATTGCAGCTTTGAAGTGCTGGACTCAAGAGATTCCCCCACCCCAGCTTCCTGAGTAACTGGGACTACAGGCATGTGCTGCCACACCTAGCTAGTTTAAAAAATTTTTTGTAGAGACAGAATCTCATTATGTTGTTCAGGCTGGTCTCAAACTCCTTGCCTCAAGTGATCATCATGCCTATGACTCCCAAAATGCTGGGATTATAGGCACAAGTCACTGAACCTGGCTGAATTATACACTTTAAATGGGTAAACTATATGGTACCATGAATCACTGGCCAGGCACAGTGGCTTACGCCTGTAATGCCAGCACTCTGGGAGGCTAAGGTGGGCAGATCACTCGAGGTCAGGAGTTTGAGACCAGCCTGGCCAACATGGTGAAACCTTGTCTTTACTAAAAATATAACAAATCACAAATCAGTCAAGTGTGCGGGGCACCTGTAATTCCAGCTACATGGGAAGCTGAGGCAGGAGAATCGTTTGAACCCAGAAGACAGAGGTTGCAGTGAGCCAAGATCGCACCACTGTACTCTAGCCTGGGCGCCAGTGCAAGACTCCGTCTCAAAAAAAA